GCACATGTACTTTACCTGACCATAATTGGCTCAACATAGGTAAATCAGGAGTCGTATAATTGCACTTCCTCGGGATAAACCCTCGTGCAAGTCATCCTCCTTAAACATCATAATATCACCTTGGGAAGTTTATTCCCCCACTTATGGATCCAAATACAACCATAATATCACACCATGTCAAAAACCCTTATCGAACAACCATAAAGTCATATCAACAGTTAAGCCACAAATGACAACATGTAGGAAATCATCCACATAAACAAGGTTCATATCGATTAGAGCAAGTCAATAATATCATACAGTAGTCCAGGGTTCATCATATAGCACAAAAGTCAATACACCCCTAATCATGCCATTCTAGTTCACCTAGATCAATTCTAAGCATCAATATAATTATCGTGATACGACAAACCCGGTATGCCGTGCTAATCCCTCACCAGTTCTGGTCGTTCAAACCCCGATTTAACCTTCCCGTACTAAAACGTCAATTTCACGAACGAACCCCGAATTAAAATCCGAGACCGTCCTAATATCCCCTGCAGTATCCCCGTCAATATTAGTTCTAGGCTCCGGGTTTAATTCTCGATAAAAACACATCAAACCCTGGCCGGAGCTAAATTCAGCGGTTTGGACCCCGGCCTAAATAATTGCCGAAATTCAGAGATTAGAACTAGAGGATTGATTACCTCGCTGCAGGAAGCTCGTATATGAAATTTGGGCTCAATCCGGCTTCCGGATACTCCGAAACCCTAATCTGGCAGATCGGGAATTCAAGAAATTCCTGAACCAAAAACTCGTTTTAAAGCTCTAAATCGATAAATCACGATGAATAGATGAATTAGGCATTACTTACGGGATTTTTGGATCACTAGGGCTCAAGAATTTGAGCTGGAGAATTTTTCCCCCGAACGCTCTGTTTCTCTACTTCTCTCGCGGAAACTAAAAAGAAGAAGAAGTTGATATGGTTTCTGGAGAGTTTGTCTGGGAAGGGAATTAAATGTCCCGTGTATATATATATATATATATATATATATAATTAATACGTATACTTATCCGATCGATCGATAATCCGATTTTCGCCGAAATAGTGTCGAAATGCTCGATTTTAAATCGCGAACTTTCTAGCGATCGAAATATGGGTTTTGCCGGAACGGGATGTTACATAACGATTGGCTAATAATTTGTATTTCGATAGTTGTGGCTATAATTCCCCTCTGCTTAATAGTTATGGCTAATATATTGTATTTGCCCTTTTTTTTTATGGGAAGCTTTTGTCTTTTTGTCTAGTAATGAATTTGGGCATATCTGGCCCGGGTAGTTTTGTCTAGTAATGACAATGGGGAGGTCCGGGTCGGGTATCTCGATACCTATACTCATTTCGTGACAGGTCGAGTAATTTATCATGCGATGCATATCAGAGCAGGTCGACTCAATGAGTATGTAATTTATATGAAAAATATTTGTATTTTTATTAAAAGATAAAAAAAACCATAATATGATAAAATTTAGTTAAATCATTGGAAATTTTGAGGAATTCGAACTCACGTGGGAAACCCCACTTACTTAGCAGGCAAGCGCCTTAACCACTCGGCCAATCTCAAAGGGTTGAACAAATCTGAATACTCAGAAATATCAACAAGGGCAAGAGAAGCTGAGGCACAATTGGAGCTGTTGTAAAATAGTGTGTTGTGTGACCCTTCTACAGCAAATTCACTAGCAGTTATTGAGCAGGAGAAAGAGTGTCGAGAGTTGCAAAGTGTTGAGGAGATATTCTATAAACAAAAGTCTAGGGTTCAATGGATAACGCAAGGGGATGCCAATACTGGTTTCTTTCATGATGTGGTTAAAACAAGAAATCATAGGCAGTCTTAACTGATGTAAAGGGGATGAGTAACTGGCGGTGGAATTCTATAAAGGCCTATTAGGAGTAGCTTATCCTAATGTTCAGCAACAACCTATAGGGGTCGTTTGGATTGAGTATTTGATAAACTTGTTGTTTGGGGCCAATTACCACACAAATACCACATAATATAAAACTTGTTATTTGGTATGTGATATTTGGTCTCAAACTTGTTATTTGGGAAATACCTGCCCCCTCCCAAGTATTTGGCAAACAACACTTTTTGTGTTATTTGGTCTCAAACCTGTTATTTGGCAAAACACTACATCCAAATAACACATCCCACTTTTTGTCAGCCAAACATGTTATTTGGGGTTAAATAACAGATTTTGTGTTATTTGACCTCAAATAACACCCCCAAATACTCAATCCAAACGACCCCATAGAGTTTTTTGAGAATTTGCTATGTCATAAGCTAACATCTGAGGATGCTGCCATTCTGAATTCTTCTGTAACTCGTGAAGAGATCAAGCAGGTGTTCTTTAATATGGGAAGAGATAAAGCCACTGGACCTGATGGCTACGTTGATGAGTTCTTCAAGCTAGATTGGGATATTGTGGGGGTTGACGTGGAGAACACTGCTCTAGATTTCTTTAATTCAGGGAGAATGCCTAGACAGGTAAACTCTACAGTCTCATCACTCATTCCTAAGATCCCCATAGTTGAAAAGATGAAGGACTTTCATCCTATTTATGGTGCAACGTAATATACAAAGGAATTTCTAAGTTGTTATCTCATAGATTATCCTTGATTCTGCCAAAACTAATCAGTAAGAGCCAATCCGCTTTTGTCAAGGGTCTTTTAATAAGTGACAACATCTTAATGGCAACAGAATTAGTAAAAGACTATCATAAGAGCAGAATCTCCCAAGATGTGGTCTTAAGATAGATTTAATGAAAGCATTTGACTTCATGAATTGGTGTTTCATGTTTAAAGTGATGATTTCTATGGGTATGCCTACTGGATTTGTGAAGTTTATTGAGGCGTGTGTAACTTCTCCTATGTTGAGTGTCTCCTTCAATGGAGGTTTGTGTGGGTACTTTGCAGGTGCTAAAGGTTTGAAACAGGGGGGTCCGCTTTCCTCCTATCTTTTTACCATAGCAATGAAAATCTTCTCTTGTCTGTTAAAGAGGGCAGTTGATAGTGGGGTAATTCTGTTTCATCCATGCTGTAAGAGACTTGGTATTTCACATCTTTGTTTTGCAGACGATTTGTTAGTTTTTTTTCTAATGGATCGTCTCAAGCAATTACTGGAACTAAACAGTTGTTGGATTAGTTTTATGTTATCTTGGGTCTTAAATGCAACCCCCAGAAGTATCAATTATTCTGTTCAGGGCTTTCTCAGGATGATAAGCAAGCTATTTCTCAGCAGACTGGGTTTCCATTAGGGGATCTTCCAGTTCGCTATTTGGGCGTACCTCTCCTTTTTGGAAAACTGACATCTATCGATTGTGAGTATCTTGTGGAGAGGATCATTAAGAGGATCCAGACCTGGCAGTAGGGGTGTTCAAATGGTTACCATGGTTATAACCAAACCAAATAAGGTTAAATTCCATTAACCATGGAATACAATATCATAACCAAACCGTCCAAACTAATACAACAACCAAATTAACCAAACTAAAGTTTAATCGGTTTGGTTAATTGGTTAACCAGATTAACCAATATAAATTCACATTATATATAATGAATAAAACATAACAATCAACACGTAGTTATAGTTGACCCTTAACAAAAATACATGCAACTAAGGCAATTATCTTACGATTAGTATAGAAGTATTCACCTAACAAAAAATTATGACAATGGTATGGGTTAATGAATTGTTGTGTTTGTGTAAATTGACTTAGTCTCTTAGCAATTATCATAGGCTGGAAATGACCTTCATTTCAAGTTTTCATTCATCATAATGTATGAAATTTATCTAAATTAGGCGTCCATATGTTGTGGTATAGACTTTACATATACAAATATACACTATATGAGCAATATTGAGCTTTATATTTTATGAGTCTAAAAGGGATGAACGTTAACTCTTGAGTGGTTGTGCAAAGTATTATGTGTATATAATATATGTTAGATATATGACTAATTACTTAACTGGTTAATTTGGTTTGCCTGGTTAGGAGTGTCTGAAACCAAACCAAACCACCTAAACCAAACAAGCTAAAAAATTTAACCAAACCAAACCAATTATCCAAATTAACCAAACCAAATTATCCAAATAGTACCGGTTAAAACGGTTACCACGGTAACCAAACCGTTTGAACACCCCTACCTGGCAGGCTCAATCTTTAAGCTATGTTGGAAAGCTGCAATTGATAGATTCAGTGATTACAAGTGTATTCCAGGATTGGATGTCGATTTTCTTGCTTCCTCTAAAGGTGCTTAAGATGATTGAGAATGCTTGTAACAGATTCTTGTGGAGTGTGGATGGTGTCAGAAGAAAGAAAGCTCCTGTTGCTTGGTCACAGGTAGCTTTGCCATAAAAAGAGGGTGGCTTAGGCATTCGAGATTTTAAAAACTGGAACAGAGCATGTGTGATCAGGCACTTATGAAATTTATTGGCAGAGGCTGGTTCTTTATGGGTTGTTTGGTGTCATGTGCTTTAATTATTATTATTTAATTGAGTCTATCAATTGTTAATTAGAATTAGGATTAAGGGTTTTGGGTAGATGTGGATAGTGGGATAGTTGTTAGCTAGAATTACGGAAGGAATAATTAGTGTTAGGTCTTTTACGTTGGATTAGAGGAGATTGGGTTTACTTCTGTTTTTAAGGTACCAAATAGATAGAAATAGGGCATCAATCAAGTATAATAAAAAAAGGGTTTTACACACCTACGTGTTAATTTGGGAGATTGGCTTTCCTCGAAAAAGCTTTGGGGTTTTGTTCTCGCCACTAAGAAGAGCACTTCTCTTCTTCTCAATATATCTATCTTCCTCCATTCTTATTCTTCCTATTCCAATCTTTCTCCTAAATTCTATTTGCCAAAAAAGGCACGTAACAATTGGTATTAGAGCCGGCCGATCCTACGACAATGGAGGTTCGCGCAAAATCACTTGATTCTATGATGGAGGCGATCGTGTAAGAGAGACGACATGTTGAGGCAGGTGATGCGGGAAGGTTTTGCTGCTCCAAATGAGAGGTTCGATCGATTGCTAGCATTGGGGGAGAAGAAGGAATCCAACATTCAACTCGTCAATTGCGCCAACGGGGTAGGAGGCGGCAACCAACTCAAGGACAAAATCAACGACCCCCATCTCAAGGAAGACGTCGATGCTAGCATCGAAAGTCAAAAGCTGCTTGTGCCAATGGTTCTTCATTGACATAACACTACACCAAAATTGCCGGAATGTCAAGCCTCTTCTATCGCGACACTCAAGCTGATATCAAGAGCGAGTTTGCCTACGCATGAGACGTCCATGGAAATTGACTTCCGGAAGACTATAGTGGCCAACATTAGGCCAGCAAGCCAATTCAACTCCAACAATGTCCACGAGCTGACTCCTTCCTCGTACAAGCTTCCCAACAACTTGTCATGTGTTACGAAACCTTGGGATTTAAGGGCAAAGTGCTTGGGTGATTTTAGCAACACTTGGTATTATTTGGCGGCGGTTCCTTTAATTGCAGAAGCAAAATTTGGCAGTGGGAGCTTAGCATCTCAACTATGGTGGCTCATGCTCTCTGGAGATCCAGGTTGAAGAAGGCTACTGAAGTTATGTTTATGGCTGATTCTTGTGGTCAAGAATCTTTTGAAGGGGGATGGAATGTCATGTGTTTAAATTATTATTATTTAATTGAGTCTATCAATTGTTAATTAGAATTAGAATTAAGGGTTATGGGTAGACGTGGGATAGTGGGATAGTTGTTAGCTAGAATTAAGGAAGAAATAATTAGTGTTAGGTCTTTTACGTTGGATTAGAGGGGATTGGGTTTACTTCTGTATTTAAGGTACTAGATAGATAGAAATAGGGCATCAATCAAGTATAATCAAAAAAGGGTTTTACACACCTACGTGTTAATTTTGGGAGGTTGGCTTTCCTCGAAAAAGCTTTGGGGTTTTGTTCTCGCCATTAAGGAGACCACTTCTCTTCTTCTAAATCTATCTATCTTCCTCCATTCTTATTCTTCCTATTCCAATATTTCTCCTAAATTCTATTTGCTGAAAAGGGCACGTAACACTTGGATGAACAAATATAGGATAAAAGGGAGGGATCTATTGGTGGAAGATCCTTAAGTGTCGAAGCTTGGCACAATAGCATATTGCAGGGGTTGGTGAGTTCTTGGAGTGGGATGGTTGCTGATGGGCAAAGTATTAAGTTAAGAAGGTGTGGGAGGCAATTCGAGTGCCTTCACCTACTGTCATGGTTTCAAACCTTGTGGCACAAACCAGTTTACCCTAAGCATTGTATTCTAATGTGGCTAATCATATTGGGAAGAATCATGACCAAAGACAAATTGATAAGTTGGGGAGTGAGATGTGATGCTTGCTGTGTTTTATGTCCTGGAGGTACAGAAAGTAGAGAGCATCTCTTTGGCTCCTGTTTGTTTGGGATTGCAGTTATGCAACAGGTGCTTAAAGGAGTTTGGTCTTTTCCAGGGTTCTCTAATTGGCAGGGGCATCTTGCCTGGGCAGAAAGCAACTGGTCTACAGCTTCTGATGCAGCAGTTGTTAGTAGGGTACTCTGGTTGATAGGACTAAGTGTTATATGGAGGGAACGTTGTGCGAGGTTCTATGGATCAGTAGCAGTCAACTCCCCGTTACAAATGGCGGCAAAGATTAAGCAAGAATTTCTGATTTTTTGCTGGTAGTCATACTACTTTCCAATTCAGAGTGCATAAACTTATTGTAACTAGTTAGCTATTACTAGTTTTTAGTGTTTCATTGAGTTGTAAACATACATTGATGATTTGGGAGGGAAGATGCGAGATGCACTTCCCCGGGCTTCAAATACAATTTTTGATTAACCATAAAAAAATTTGAGAAATTCGATTATTTACAACTTTATTATAGCTAAAATATGAGGTATTAAAGGAAAATCCTAAGTAATTTGACTAATATTACATGTAATTTAGGCAAGAACGGGTTAAGAATAGGGCAGGCCAGATCGATGAGAGATACCCATGCCCGCCCCAAAACAGGCCAAACAGGTCGGGTAAAACGTGTCAGGTCAAAATTATCATCCCTACTTTTGTCAATATTTTTTTATAGTTATATTAAGCTGAGCTTTCTGTACTTTTGTTCACTAATTAGGGATTAAGGGTCCTTATTGATGAGTAGGGATGACAATGGGTCGGGTTGGGCGGGTTGTGCCAAACCCAAACCCAAATTTATGGGTTTATACGCCAAAAAAACCGGGGTAAAACCAGTTGGGTTTGAAATATTCAAACCCAACCCGCTGGGTATTCGCAGATTAATGGATACCCATGGATTTTTGTGGTAAAAAATTTACAATACTAAGTTTGTTTCGAAATAAAGGTGTAACATCAATTTTGCCATACAAAAAACACCAATCTAGAGCATACAAGCAAACTGCAAATTATCAATACAAATTGTTCAAAATTAAAGATAAACATCTATAAATAACATGATTAATTGAAAACTTCTTCCTCCTTGTCAACTAAGTTTCTTCACTCTCTACTCCATAATATCAACTTCATTCTACACAATTAAAAAGAATAAATTAGACATGTCTCCACAAACATAAAGAAGATTAGTTATTTAAGGAATATATATTGCTTAAAATATTAAATATACCAGAATAACTAATTATATGGGTGTGGACTAGAAGATTGGATCCTCCTCTTTTTTCATCCATCAGTTCAGATATATTACTTGCATCATGTGTTCTCAAAGTGTATTGCGGAATGACGACTTCTTTAGAAACACATGCAAGATTGGCAATCGTTAGGAAAGACTGTGAGAGGGTCAGAGAAATAAAGGAAAAAAATACACATAATTAAGAGATCAAGAGTAATGATCTTTCACAATTCAACCCTCGTACAAAAGCTGGTACCAAATGCATAAAAATCAAGTCACAGCTGCATACCAAGTTGATCCCATTAAGTCCAACTACGGGAGGATTCAACTATTACCCCATACAATGACGTTTACACATCCGACTTGTAATCTTCAAAGTTTGATGTATTATTTAGGGTTCATACCTTATTTTTCTTGAACTATGATCATATATCAATTTTGGCCCGTGGTTTCAAAAATTAACATCGTGGCATCAACTATGCAACATATAGATGCAATTAGCCCGACACATGGTTTGACCGTCAATTTGGACGGTCAACACCGTTGATCGTTAGTTAACATGCCATGTCAGCCTAAAAATTTATATTTTGTTTTTTGGGTAATTTGAAAATGATAAATTTTATAAATCAACTAAAAATTATCAAATTATATAAATTTTATTTTTTGGTTAATTTGAAAATGATAAATAATAGAAATTAGGAAAACAAATTTAATGATTTTTAGGTTGACGAGGCAATGGCATGGCATGTTGACTAACGGTCAACGGGGTTGACCGTCCAAATTGACGGTCAAATCATGTGTGAGGCCAATTAAGTCTATATGTTATATAGTTGAGGGCAGGATGTTAATTTCTGAAACCACATAACAAAAGTGATTATATGGTTATCGTTCGGGCCAAAATAAGATATTAACCCTATTATTTATTGTGTTACTTTTAATTATGTTTTTTAAATTGTGTCGTTAAGATATATGATGTAATTTCTTTAATATTAATAAAAAGAGCATTAAAATTTATTTTGTGGCCAAATTAAAAATAACCATATAAATAATGACAGGACGATCTAAGTAAAATGCCAAAATCAGCACTCAATTAATTTCGACAAAAACTGTTGTTAGAATGGATCAGGATAATCGACAATGCAAGAAAGTAAAGAACACACAGATTTAAGTAGTTCACTAACACAATGTGGGTTAGTTAGTCAACGGACAGGAGAGAGCCAGTTTTACTATACTTTAGGAGATGCATATTACATAGGGATATGCAAAGTATATATAGTACTTCTCCAAACGATCTAACCCTTATCCAATCATGTAAAGATTAATGTTACATATCAGGTCCAAAACAGAAACTCACTTTACAGTGAGACCCCCTGTGACTTCCAGTCGACGTGAGATAATCCGATTCAACCCATATCAACAATTTTTTTTTACACTTTCCAACTTTTCCTCCTTATCTTATCACGACTCTTTTTTTTTTCTCTCTCCAATTCTCCTATCTTGACTCTAATCTAGGCTCTATCATATCGTTTGGTATAAATGACTTTCATAAGTTTTTTGAGAAATTCATTTTAAAATGAAATCATTTTTTGTTTGTAATATAAATGAATTTATTTTCAATTTTGAAATTTGAATTATGCAGAAATGAAGCTAGTTTTAGCAATTCCAAGGAATTGAGTTGAAACTTGCAAATGAATTCCGCGAATATTTTACTAATTATGAATAACTATCTTCAATTATTAAGTAAGCTACCCCTGTATATAACTTCTCCCTAATATTCCATATTTGTGCACCTAACCTTCCTTGCTCATCTAATACTTAACCAAATATATAATCATGAAGATCAATCTCTCTTTGTTTACGAGAAAAAAAATGGTATACAAATTACAAGGAATGTTTTTAGAAGATAGATCTTGAAATTGTATACCATCTTTTTAAGAAACTTTTATTTTTGCTTGGCCGAAGTGGTTGGATATAAGGGTGACACTTGTGTTTTTATAAGATGAATTTTTAATTAGTAATAATAATGTTGTTTATGCATAAAGATAAAGATAATAAGAGTATATGTAGTTGAAAATGAATTTGATTTAATTCTAAATGCATTTCAAATATAATTTGAGAATTCAATTCAATTTATTTTTAAAAAATTGAATATGACATTTCAAATATAGGAATTCATCCAACATTGGATTCTAGACAAAATTTTATTTTAAAATTAAACAAATTCTTAATTCATTTTATTCCAAACAATTTGTAGAGTAAAAAACTAAAAACTCAAAATACAATCTTTTTTTTGGGAAAAATACCCATTTTTTTTTAACTCTTTTCCCACCTTTGATTTTTTTCCCCACCTTTGATTTTTTTCCCCCACCTTTTATTGCAGGTTGGTGTAAAGTAAAAACGAGAGCAGACTGCACTACCTTACCTGATTCACCAAAGCGGCAAAGATCTTCATATTCTTTCCTACCCAACGACCCACGGCAAGAGCAGCCGATTAACCCCGATTTGACGATTTTCTCAGACCTACATTGGAATGGCAGAAGGGAAATAACCTCAGGAAACCACAAGGATCAGCAAGGATAAGTCAATCAGGAAAGAGCCCAGAAACCTTGGGGAGAGCTCGAGGATAGAAAGTAGAAACGAGAGAGGGATCTGTCAACAATTGAAGCGATCTGAGCAGCAATAAAGATGGAGGGAGTCGGAGCGCGACTGGGACGTTCCTCCACTCGATACGGGCCGACGACGGTGTTTACCGGCCCTGTCCGGAGGTGGAAGAAGAGATGGGTCCACGTATTGCCGTCGTTAAATAGTAATTCTGCCCACAACGGTGGTCAGTTTCATTCTAATCTCATCACCAACGGTACCGCCGCCGCCGCTTCCGGCGCTGCTAATGGTAATCATAGTAGTTCGCATCTCTTGCTTTACAAGTGGACTCCTTCACCCCAATCCAATAACAGCAACACCAGCAGCAGCAATAAGGACAGCGGCGGCGTCGCTGTTGCTACCGACGAAGCGCCTGAGGAGCCCCAAAGGCGCAAATGCAAATACATCCCGGTATATCCCCCTTCCATCTATCCTTTGCTGTTTAATCTGCATTCAATGTAATGTTGGTTGTTGGATCCAAATCTGCTATTGGTACTACAGTAAAGAACATGCCTTTGACTAGTGTGATAATTGATTGCAATGTTACCCTGCCTCAGCCCCATTGCACTCACCATCAGAGGAGGGGTCTGAGTCAGATTTGATCGAGCCAGCGATCCTTATGATACTAGTAGATTAACCCCTTTTTCTTGAGCTTTCTATTGATGGGTAGTGATTGATACCAAGTTTGAACTTATCTACCTCCTGTGATACAGTTTGATGCATCTTGGGCATTCACATTCCCTTAACACATGCGGTGATACGAGTTCCGTATCAGGGCTTCATTTCCATCACAAATATATTTCTAGGGCATTTTTCACTTTTCAGGGCAGGTTTGCACTTCAGATATGCTGAAAATGATAATATTGCTGAATGTTTGCATTTATTACTAGTTTTGTTGATTGTTTTAGGCACTAACGTGGTAGGAACTTTTATTCAACATAGGTGGCTTTGCTAGAGGCACAGAGAATAGAAGCTGATGAAGAAATGATTGATGATGAAGTTAAACCAAGTGACGGTGAAGGAAATGTCGATGACCCAGTTTCTACATCTGCTGGGGTTGACGAAAAACCTGATATTAATGAGTCGCCAAAAGAAAGCCAGGTTAACACTCATCTTCTTTTTCATTTAGCGGTCTTCGTTTGGCTGCTGCACATATCCATTGTGCATCAGCTCACTTGTGGTTTGGCAATATCGAGTGATTTGATAGTGAATGATGTCCTGGATTATGTTCGAGCTCAGGGTAGTGGTCCTCCATTCGTATTCTTTTTTGTGTTGTATGTTATTAGTTATTCATTTCCAAATGAAGTATGAAAAAGCACCCGACATACTGTCTAATGCTTCTCATTTTGTTCCTCTTTGCTAATGTGGGATTTGTTGTTGGCTTCCATCATGGTTGGTTGTTTTTCTTTTCCACAAGTAATGCAGTTCCAAATGGTTTTAGCTCTGAGATAGCACACAGAAAACTGTGAGATGCTTCTCATTTCCCACCTCTATGCTGATGTGTCATTTCCTGTTGGCTTCTCTCAGGATGATGAACAAGTGGTACGGCAAGACCTGAATGAGAGTACCTTAGATTTGTGCTTAGGATTGAACTCGCATGATCATGATTCTGAATCAAAACCTGAGGAGCTTGGTCAAACTCAATCTGTCCAGGTTGATGATTCAGCTCCTTCATGAAAGGCAATGCTAAATTTGTTTGTTCTTGATTTGAAGAAACTTTATACCTTGAGTTGATCATTTGGTCAGAGCTTTTGTGCATCTTAGAGGCAGGCGCATTCACATGACCAATTTGAGTTGGTTCTTCTGCTGCTGACGTAACCTGGATTGATGCTTCAACAGATTCAATATTTTATGATTTCGGTTGAGAAATGGCTAAATTTAATCACACTATGGTTGTTTCGTCATTGACAATTTCACTTTTTGAACTCAGATCTTGTTCGGCTTCTTTGTTATGAACATTACCTTCTATTATTCTTTTTGTTTAGCATCTTTTCTGATATTCATTACAAGAGACATCTAGGTTTTACATTTACATCAATCATACTAGTCACTAGTCAGTTGAAAGTGAAATCCAAACAATGAAAGTGCTTTGTTTGGGGAATCATCGTCCCTGGCGTTAATGTTTTCCTGCTTCTACTTGGTCCAGATGCCAGATCCCCCTACCCAAGTGAAGCAAACCCCAAACCAAAAAATTTCTTTTTTCGAAGGGGGTTGAGATGTGTCTTCAAACCCTTCCCTCATCTGGTAAAGCTTCTTTCTTAGCTCTTGGGGAATGTGGTGTGCTGCTTCTGTTGCTGTAGCTTTGCGACAAGATGGGATAGCTATGCATGTACAGGTATTGATGATGATGATGTTGATGGCGAGGATGATGAGCTGACAGATATGCAGCCTTTCAGCCGTTCAAGAATGAGGTTGCGTCTAACTAGTCTGGCATGTGAAGTAAGAGGAAGACCCTCTTTCACGCATTCATCATATTTCTCCAAAGCACAGACAATGTCTCTGAAATCTGGCCGCTTTGATGGATTAGCAGCCCAACAACACTTGATTAAGTGTGCAAGTGCAGGCTGACAACTCGCTGGAAGCGGGGGTCGTTCCTTCTGTCAGAAACAACACCAAAGGAGGGAGAATGCAAACATCAGAAAGAGATATGGGAGGTGGCTCATTTGATGACTCAGTAAATGTACGTCACTAGTCTTTTGGCGTGGAATAAGGAGGAAATCAGCTACAAACAGTGGAAAGTCTTACCTTCTCAGCCACTGCATATGCGGCCTGGACTGGAGTCATTCCTTGAAATGGAAGCAAAGCCGTGGTGAGCTCCCACAAGACAATCCCAAAGCTATAGACGTCGACTTTACGAGTGTAAGGTTTCTCCTTTATCATCTCAGGAGCCATCCACCGATAAGTGCCTTTGTTTCCTTTAGTCTCCAGGCATTGTGTCTCTAGGCACGAGGTACCAAAATCTGCCACCTTAACCCGCATCTCATCGTTCAGAAGCAAATTGTTTGATTTCAAGTCTCTGTGAATTACACCTTGTGAATGAAGGTACTCCATCCCTCGTGATATGTCGAGAGCTAGCCTCAGGATCGTCTCTGTTGATAGAGAGTAGGGCTCTTTCTTGTTAAGGTACATTCTGAGTGTTCCTTGTGACATATACTCGGTGATGATGCAGTACACAGGGGGTTTCTTGCACGCAGCAATGAACTGAGTAATGTACAACAACGACAAGAACAGTAGGAGGATTGAGTAATTGTCCATGGTTGTTCTTACAATTCGAATCAGATCTAGAGTTTAGTCATCGCAAAAGTGACCTATACATGTATTCTCAGTTTCTCACTCCCTAGGCTGGTATCATACTTGCTAAGATCTTGATTAAGCCACAAGAAAGAAGATAAAGGGGGAAACAGTTACCTGCACGATATTGGGATGATAGAGCCGGGAGAGCAAAGCAACTTCAGATTTGAACTGCTGCTCGAGGAGAGATCTAGTCTCCTCTTTCTGGTTAGGGATCCTGACCATCTTAACAGCAACTGCTCTCTGCTTGTAGATTCCTCGATATATCCTACTGTGCGCCCCAGAGGCGAATTTGTTCCCTATAAACAACTGAGAGAGGTCGGCTGTCCACTCCTCTTGGTCTTCCTTGGGAGAGGCCTCCCACGTCTCCACGTTCTCAGACTCCAGTATCATGGACCAGGATTCCAAGCTGTCGAACCTCTTCCTCTCCATGGTCTCGGAGTTCAACTGGTGCCCTCTTGAGGACACGGAAGGTACTGCTAATCTTCGTTTGCTCCTGGGTTTCCCATGGCAGAAAGCAGGGAACCAAGAACCAGCCATTGCAATACTAATAACTAACTTTTTTCCCAAGGAAAGAAGAAACAGAGATCAAGAGAGAGGGCCATTTCAGGAAGTGCATGAACTGATTCAAAACGTGGGAAAGAAATAGGGAGAAGGTTTCAAGCTTTCATGGCCGAACTGCAAAATTGCAGGAGGGAGTTGAGAGAGATGACAGACATTGTGGAGTGGAGGTTGATGTGATGAGATTAGAGGTGGGTTTTGGAACTGGCATGGAAAGATGAAAGATGATGAACACAGAGTGGGGGGATTTCAGGGACGTCTCGTGATTGTCCCATCTGAAAGTTTGTAGCTTTTTAGTTGGAATGGAAGGAAAGGAGGGCAGCTTTTTCCTCTTCCTTGCGCCTTCTCTGCTTTACGTATTTCCTTGTTTAAGTTCTAACCCCTTCTCCCTTGCCTCGCAGTCTGATGCAGTTTTCGTATCTATACATGAATTTTTGGATTGGTTAATTAATTAATCGAAGGGTAATGTCTATTATTTATTCAAAATTGACTTGTCTTCCCATGTGATTACACCTCACCCCCATTCTGAACTGATACCAGCCTCGTAGCTCGAGCAAACTTCGCCATATCCATAATCCCACAGTTGTAAGAGGTATTTTATCCATTTCACAACTTTATAGTTGCAAAAGATGTGTCATTTATAATTTTTGAACGTGTCGTGATTTTGAAATTTTATAATGACGAAACATGTATTTTCCACCAAAATCTTGAAATGGATATGGGTAGATTGTTGACACACCTCTCCCAGTGGTTATTGATTGTTTGAGTGACCCGGTGGATGATCGATCATTAACCATAGCAAAAAAACGTGCCAGTGGTGACACTTTCTCGATGTCTAGGTCCTCTTCTCAGGTCGGTCCGCTGGCGGCTGCGGCCCATTCTCCTGATGGGCTTTCCTCACCAGTTCATCCGCTAAATTAATCGCCGGCCCGTCCATCAGCTTACGCACTCCCCGATAAGCCCGGCCCAAATAGTCGAAAAAGAGACGGCCGGCCGGCAGAAGAGTGTGGACGTACAACGTTGCATTTTTTTTTTTAGCTGGGGAAGTGGACAATTCCTCCTGATTCCCTCCCTTTCCCCATCCCACGAAATGGAATTTCAGTTTCAGTGGGCGTCTAAGGGAGCCGGAGACTGACTCGAGAGGTTTAAGCTTTTGCACCGCCATGGCACTGGCCGCTCTGTGTAGTTCTACTGTACCTGCCATCTCGCCGGAAACAACCTTTCTCGTACCAATCTCCTTCCCCTGGTTGGTTCCAGGTATGCTTCGCCTTCTTCTCTCCAATTTTCCGGCATCCCCTCCTATCGGAAACAATCCTCGGCTATGTGTTTAACTTCCCTAGCTTCTAGTTGCTCTGATTGATCGATTTATTAAAAGGAATTTGCAGTAAGCTCCTCCTGTCTTTGTGAAACTAATGCTTCCTTTTTCTGTTTCCTCCAATTTCCAGGACTCGAAGCCCTAGCAAATCATATCCGGTCCGAGCAGCTGTGGTGCGCGAACAGGAGGAGAAGGAGGTGGTTGTAGAAGAAACTTTTCAACCCAAGACATCCGGCTTCGATGTACAGGAGGGCGGCGGTGGCTCACAGTCACAGAGGGAGCCTCCTCAACCTGATTCTGATCAGTTGATCATCAAGATTGAGCAATCCATTAACGTCTTTCTCACTGTAATTTTATCCATTTCGATTGTTAGGCACACACACACACTTCTAATCCTAAAATGTTCTTCTGATTAGATTTCCCGGGGCAGTGTTTCTGCTTCTGATTATAGTAGCTCTACTGATATTGCCAGGACACGCTGATAAAGGTTCTCGACACCTTCTACCGCGATCGAGATTATGCTAGGTTCTTCGTCCTTGAAACCATTGCGAGGGTTCCTTATTTTGGTGAGTCGTTGTTGTTGTTGTTTACGTAGCTAACTACTCTTTATTCGTCAGTTTGGTACTAATACTTGTGACTGACTATCCACGGTTCATTTCTTTCGCAGCCTTCATTTCAGTTCTGCACTTGTATGAGAGTTTTGGTTGGTGGAGAAGAGCAGATTATCTGAAAGTTCATTTTGCTGAGAGTTGGAATGAGATGCACCACTTACTCATCATGGAAGTAAGGGTCCTTTGCGAATAATAAGTGTCCACTATATCTTGTGGCATTGTTAATATTCAGTGGCAGGACATGGTATATTATACTTGTGAAGTTGTCATCACTTAATTCCTCCCCATGCCCACGTGGTAATTTCCCCGAGTGTAGGATTGTGCAGATGAGGGAAGATTTGATTGCATTTTGATTGTCAATAAAAAGAAAGAGGTTTGCAATAACAGGGAACCAGAATTACAACTTATATTGATGATGGCAATGGTTTTGTGTTTGCAGGAACTGGGGGGAAATAGTTGGTGGTTTGACCGATTCCTCGCAAAACATATTGCAGTCTTTTACTATTTTATGACCGTCTTTATGTATGCATTGAGCCCAAGAATGGCTTGTAAGTGCTTTCTCTGTTTTGATTTAAGTACTTCCATATATCTCCTCTTTTATACATTTCCTCTAGTTTTCTCTTTCGTTACTGTTCATCGTTGTTTTCTATGGTAGGTAATAGATGGCATATTAAATGAAATCCTTGATCATAGAGGCTAATGTGTTATACTTTGCTCAAACAATAAAAAGAAGCAACGTTTACTCTTTTCTTTCACGGAGTTCACCAGGACCTGCAAAAACTTCTCATTTCTGATATTCAATCGTTTGAGTTTCTTTAGGTCAGAGGATGAATAATCTGTTTGTCCTTCTTGATGAGCAGTTCATCCTAAAATAATTTTGTTCATCATCGTTGCAGATCACTTTTCGGAATGCGTGGAACACCATGCTTATTCAACCTATGATAAATTTATCAAGGCGAATGGAGGTATGGTGGCAAACAATCTTGGATCGCCTGTTAGATTATTGCTGTCTTTTGATTACAAATTATCCATATAGTTTATCTGTCGGATGGTGGTGTTTGTGATTAGATGGTTGCGTCCTGGAATCATGCTGTGCATTAAACCTTGAGTAAGACCCTTATCATCTATTAGAAATTGCACCCTCATGTTTGACAGAGCTTTGACCATCATTTCATAAAGCTGCTCCCTCAAGTGTTCGTTTATTTTAGCTTCTATAGAGAAATAAATGCTGAAAATCGAGTCATAGGAACTGGAGGTAGTTAAATGGATAAATTTTTTGATGGATTCTGCTGAACAAAGTTGAATATTGTCTTTAAGGGGAATGGAAAGAAATAAAAGTACATTATCCATGGCAAGAGAAAACTATCTTTTCCACAGGTGTTTCTGTTTGCTCTTCAAGCTTAACGAAATAGGGTAGTAGAAAAGAGATTCAAGAAAGCTAGCCGCAAGAAACATATCCACCAATTGATTCATCCTACTCACTGTGGTGCACATATCTGTGCAGACGAGTTGAAGGAAATGCCAGCGCCGGAGGTTGCAGTTAGGTACTACACCGGCGGTGACTTGTACTTGTTTGGTACGTATGTTTCTGCTTAGTGATATCCCTCCCACCACCACTTGATATTGGTCTTTAAAGCATCACAATTTGAATATTGGTTTTCCCCCCTTTCTGAACACAGATGAATTTCAGACTTCCAGAGTCCCTAACTCACGTAGGCCGAGAATAGGTAACGTACCTTCTCACTCATTATGATCACAAAAATTGATCATCTTGGTCACTTTATACCTGGAAAGAAGAATTCCATTCTGGAAATTGAATTTTATGTGGCTTAAAAGTTTTGATTTCTAATTCCCTTCCGGAGGTGGTGATATGAATCGATCTGATGAAATGGAATCCGTATGCTTTGGGCATTTGATCTGCCATCTTGTCTTCTGCGTGCAGGTAGTTTGTACGACACTTTTGTGAACATCAGAGAAGATGAGGGGGAACACTGCAAAACCATGAAGGCATGTCAAACTCCTGGTAATCTGCGCTCTCCACATTCATATGCTGCTGATGACAGCAATGAAGATGAATCATCTTGCGAAGGCATTGTTGACTGCTTAAAGAAATCTGTAGGTCCTGCTTTATCCAAGACTAAACAGTAAAGTTTAACCAACAGAAACCTTGGATACTATATTTTGACTGTATGTAAATGCTACAACTTATACAAATTATAGAGTGGATTTAGACATTGAGAAAACAATATACGGCAGCGGGATAAGGAGTATTAACTCCCCTCCAAGATCTAGAATCAAATGTATAAACTTTATTGTGAATTCTTTATTTTGGTTGTGTCAATTCTTTTATTCTACTAATCTCTTGAACAGTGATGGCAATTTGAACTTGTCCTGTTGGTATTATTCGATTTGACCAGTGATGAGGTGGGTATTACCCAATCCGCAGTAGTGTGGGTGGGGCAAGATTGCAAGAGTATCTACTTTCGACTCGCCTAGGGCTGCAAATGAGTCGAGCGGCTCGACGTTCGACTCGAGAAAAGCTCGTTCGAAACTCGACTCGTTAATAAACGAGTCGAACATCAGTTAAGCTTTGTTCAGCTCGTGAAGCTCGCGAGCTAGCTCGACTCGGTGGCTTGTTGAGCTAAACAAGTGAGTTAACTCGTTTAGAGCTCATGATATGTCTCAACATGTAGCTAGAGAGCTCACTCGATTGCCGACTTATGAACGAATCAATCTATATCTTATGATTTTAATTCATATGGTTGTTAAATTATATATCTCGCCATATATAAAGTTTAACACGTTGAGTATGTTAGCAAATATATCTTATTTTCTATTTTAAAAAGAAATTATGTATCATAGATGATATATGATACCAACAAAGTATAATATAAGATTAGCTAACAAAATAAATCATATGTATCAAGATATACAAAATGAAGTACCAAATAAAAGTCAAGATTTTAGTAAACAAGCTAGCTCGAGCTCGACTCGACTCGACTCGTTATTAAACGAGCTGAGCTCGAGTTCAGCTCGTTTATTAATGAGCCGAGATCAATCTGGGGTAAAACTCGACTCGACTCGGGTCATTTGCAGCCCTAGACTCGCTTTGCCCCGTCCCGTTTTTGGCACATTCTATATCAATTTTTTATAGTTTCCATCATTGTTATAAGAACCGAACTGGATCAATGGTCGGTCCAGTAGAACCGTTAAACCAGTTACGATAGCGGTCCGGTTCATTGCTTGAACAGTTATTGATGGACCAAACGATTTTTCACGGTTCAACATAAAATCAGATGACCAACACGGTTTAACTGGTTCACTATTTTAACAAAAAATGCTTTAACTGGTCGACTTTACGTTGTCTACTACCGATTAGAACTGTAATTTTTAATTTGAATTAAAAAAATGTGGTTTCTTTTGTGAGATGGTTGGAATTATTTATTAGATATTTTGGTGATGATATGAATTTGAACTTTGTTTATGGTAATTGATAATTTCATTCTTAAATTAGTGTAATATACAAGTCTTATATGTTATATATCATAAACAATTCTATCAACGGTTCACCAACGGTTTTGTAACGGTTAACTGCTGAACCCTAAACCCTAAACCACTAACGTTTCCGGTTCAGCCTTCGGTTCGGTTCTAAAAACAGAGGTTTCCATGCATATTTCTCCTAATATGACTTTTCTTCAACTAATTAGAGTCGGTAAATTTAACTTGTTAGACTCAATTACCAATTTTTATATTACTATTTTTCATTCATAAAATATTTTCAAATTCGTTTTATCGTAAAAACTAAATTTGCGTGTATTTTTCTCAAATAACATGTAAAAATGATTCGAGACGTCCCATAAAATATGAATATTGAGGTAACCGCCCTCGTTACCAATGGCGGATACATGATGCTTTAGGGGTGTCCCGGGACACCCCTACATTTTGGGAACACGATTATCCAACTCCTAGTAGTAGTTTCGTATGGATAAACAAAATATAACTGGTAATCTGGGACACCACTAAAATTTTAATAAACGATTATCTTACCCTTGATAGTAGTTTGCGTATAATTAAAAAAATATAAGTGGCACTCTGTGTTATTCAAATCTAGGACACTCCTATTAATAAACATCTTCTCCATTAGGTTATAACTCATTTGTTGTTCGATTTTAAATGCTATGTAATGGTAAAAACACGATTTCTTATCGCCAGGGGTGCCCCTAATTTGAATTGATTTTATGGTTACACTACAAGTGTTGAAACAGTCTTTTCAACTTTGAATTACATCATGAACAAGGTTAGAAATAGAATACGCGATTTAGTAGGATATACCGATTTATTGAGCAGTGTAGACACCAAATCTATCTTATGTTATTTTTTTCGAAATATGAAAACACATCGTGGTTTTTTGTCAACATTTGTACTAATTGCATATTTTATTATTTATGTATTATTTAATTTAATTATTTAATTATTAATTTAATTTTTGAAAGATGACACCCCTACAAAAAATTCCTGGATCCGCCACTGCTCGTTACCATTTACCATCACTACTCTTTGGACACCACCATTAGCCGATGTCCATGGGTTGACGGAGAGATACCATTTTAGTTTAAACAAATGAGGGCTTAAATTAAGTTATACGTGGGTAGAAATGGTATGTAAGTCCGAAAACGAAACCCGTTATTAATTAATTGAACGCTACCAAACAAACCGCAATCCTAATTCTATAATACAGGGTTGTGAAATCAACAAACCAATAATTGAAGATGCGTTGGACCTATCAACCCATTGATACGATTGATTCCCTTTTGTCCTTTTGGTTTAGAAAATTTTAACAAGTTTTCAGTTGGTGAGACCACATGGGATGGGACTATCATATCTTCAATAATCTTCTACTTGAACCAACGGTTAATAGCTTTATACAAAAGTATATCTATCAACTTAGGGTGAGAGGTCATAGGTGTATTTCAAAAATCATATGTAATTAATATCCAAACAAATGATTTAGTATTTAAAAATTCCAATTTCAAATAGTAAATCCAAATTCTTCTATCCAAACACACCTCAATGCTATTCAATCACATACTTCAGTTTGCATCTAAAAAAAATGGTTTATAGGTATAATATGCCCCTCTATTATGACGATTTATAAAAAATGCTCCTCTAGTATTTTTTACATCAAACATGCCCCTATACTTTGAAAAATTTATCAAACATGCCCTTCTGTTAAACTTTCCATTGAAAAAAAAAATCGTCAATCATGATTGAACTGAGATTTAGACGACCCGACATCTGCAAATGGGAGCGAAAATGTCAGTTTTGTCTCCCGTTTTAATTCTCTGGGTCTCTTCAAAGTGAAATTATTTGAATTATTCGGCTATACAAAAGAACCAAAAAAAATTCTAAAGTGAAATTATTAGTGATATTTTAGACATTTGTGTCACCCAAACCAAAGTTCGGCCTTGGTTAACGGTTTTTGTATGGAAATTTTAATAGAAGGGCATGTTTGATAATATTTTCAAAGTACAAAGGTATATTTGATGTAAAAAATAGTTGAAGGGCATGTTTGATAGATCGACATAGTAGAGGGGCAAATTTTACCTATAACCCAAAAAAGGGGATTGCTATTCGTCGCCCTAAAAATCCTTATTTGTCGCCCTGATTATATTAAATTTACTCTAATATCCTTAAATTCACGGTGCTGCAACACTTCAACAAATCTTCGATCTTGATGACAGCAAATAGAGGCCATACACCCATTTTTCTGCAAACTTACTTAATCTTGGAACTCATTTTCCAATCACTTCCCTATCACTAACCATCCAAACAACGTTTTCCAAAAGCTATCTATCATGGTTCAATTTTCACCCATTTCGACACTCACAATTCACCCACTTAAATTTTAAATCATTGAAGAGCCCAACTAAAGTAAAACTGTGCCTAGAAATCTCATGGTATAAATTTGAAGGGGAAAGAACAAGCAGGAGGAAGAAAGTCGGGGCGCTGGTCACATTCGCCGCTGTTGTTCCCTAGCATGTTGACTCGCTGTTATTTTTATTTTTTTATATAATCCCAGCGGACAGAATCCGGCTGGTTGAGAAACAGAGATTCCAAGGAAACGGAGAGCATCGGCGGCCGGAAATCGGCTGGTTGGCGACACGACACAAGGAGGTAGGGATTAGGGAAATTGGAGTTCGGGGTATTATCGTCAATTCAATATGATTTAGGGCGATTTTTTTCAAAATTTAGGGCGACGATTAGCAATTCAGAAAAAAAATCCTACTACTTTCATTGTTTTCGCATAGGAGGAGCTAGTCTATATAGGCATTATCAGGAAAAAATCCAAAAGTACCACTGTTTAAAAAAAATTCCAAAAATACCACCCTTTTTCAAAAACCGCCACCCCACCCTGCTGTTTACACGAAAACCGTTTGTCGGGGGCGCGGTTTTCTATGCAAACCGCGGGCCTAGGGGGCGGTTATAAAAAAATTTTTGGACCAAACCGCTGGGTGGGGTGGTGGTTTGACCCAAAACCGCCACCCCACCCAGCGGTTTGGTCAAAATTTTATTTTTTTATATCAACTCCTAACTTCGGCCGAAACTTCAAACGAACGTAACTTTGCACTCGGGTATCCGATCGTAGCGATTTTTTTTCATTTCGCATAACTTTTCAGGATCTACAACTTTTAGTAGGATGAAATTTTCAAAATAGGAAGTATTTGTGGATATACGGGACCTTGGGAATAACTTTACCTTTACTTTTCACAAATCCATGTACATTTTGAAATTATGATTATATTAAAAGTTGTAGATCTTGAAAAGTTATGTGGAATAAAAAAAATTCATGACATTCGGATTTTGGAGCACAAAGTTATGGCCGCTCAAAGTTTGACGAAATCAAAAAAAGGCTCGTTCGGGGTGGCAAATGACGTTTTTTCGAGACGAAGGCGGGACCCGGCGGTTTGTGGCTTGCAAGATCTCAAAAATTTATTCGGATTCAAAAAATGGAGGCCTCAAACTTTTTGAGATCTTGCAAGCCGCATACCGCCGGGTCTCGCATTTCGTCAAACTTTGGGCGGTCATAACTTTGTGCTCCAAAATCCGAATGTTATGAATTTTTTTTGATTCCGCATAACTTTTCAAGATCTACAACTTTTAATATAATCATAATTTCAAAATGTACATGGATTTGTGAAAAGTAAAGGTAAAGTTATTCTCAAGGTCCCGTATAGCCACAAATAGTTCCTGTTTTGAAAATTTCATCCTACTAAAAGTTGTAGATCATGAAAAGTTATGCGAAATGAAAAAAATCGCATCGATCGGATACCCGAGTGCAAAGTTACGTTTATTTGAAGTTTAGGCCGAAGTTAGGAGTTTGATCGAAAAAAAAAAATTGGACCAAACCACTGGGTGGGGTGGCGGTTTTGGGTCAAACCGGCACCCCACCCAGCGGTTTGGTCCAAATTTTTTTTTTAATAACCGCCCCCTAGGCCTGCGGTTTGCATAGAAAACCGCGCCACCGACAAACGGTTTTCGTGTAAACCGCAGGGTGGGGTGACGGTTTTTAAAAAAGAGTGGTATTTTTGGAATTTTTTGGGATTGGGTGGTATTTTTGGAATTTATTTTTAAATAGTGGTACTTTTGGATTTTTTCCGCATTGTCAAGGGACACCGGTAAGTTTTGGGGACAAAATTAACTACCTTGATATGTTTACACCAAAATTGAACGTATTGTTGGCAAGTGTTCTACCACCATATTACATCGCATTACTTGATTCTTTATTGAAACAAAACTAATTCATTAACAATTATAAATTAAATTTCCTTTTGGAATAAATCTCTAAACCAATCTATTTTCTCCTTAAGTCCTATTCTATTTTTTTCCAGGAACCGAAGAAGTAATCTTGTCCAACGATGAGTTTACAAATGGTGCAACAAAGCGTCAAAATCAAAAGAATAACATCCCATCGGAAACAAATTGAGTGCCTTTCTCGCTAGTCTATAATAAGCATTTACATTTTCACTCTGACGATGATTTCTTTATGTATGAATGAATTATTTGGATATTATTAATTATAATTATTAAATAATATTTATTTATACGTTGAAAAAAAAAGAGAACACAGGTAGTTTCAAACTCTCCCTCCACCACTGTTTACTTAATGAGTTAATAGTTTTAAATGACCACCTTAATCATGATAATTAAAAGTTAAAACAGTTTCAGTTGAACCTTAAGAAACCAGATTGGAATTTTTTCCAATATACCACCTAAAAATTAAAATTTTCCAAAAATACCATCATTTCCAAAAAAAATTCATCTATACCACCGTTTCACAAGAACCCCAACCCCCATAGTTGTTTAAACGAGAACCGCAGGGAGGCTGCGGTTTCTGTTCCTGCCGCCTACAGACCGCGTCGGGTCGCTGCGGTAAGATTGACCATGCTTCACCTCAGTTATCCGGGCCAAACCGTTGCCACCCCTCGCGGTTTGCCTGTAAGTTCCCCCCAATGAATGCCTTACCTAGACTGAAACTTCAAACGAACGTAACTTTGCTACGATCGGATAAAGTTACATTCGTTTGAAGTTCCAACCTAGGTTAAATTAAAACTGTTGGGGGTCCTGTAGTTCTATATGGGTCAGCGAGATAACCGCGGTAACTCCCTGCAGTTATTTCACAAAATGAAATCCCCCCTCCGGGCATTCCTTTTGTAAAATACCATAGGGGGTTGCAGTCCTTGTGAAACAGTGGTACAGATGAATTTTTTGAGAAATGGTGGTATTTTTGAATTTTTTAATTTTGGGTGGTATATTGGGAAAAATCCCAACCAGATTTGGACCATGTGAGTTGTGACTAACGATTGAGATGTGGCTAAGTGAATGACAACCAAGTATTTTTCAGGTTTTAATAGTAATGCTAAATCCAACTTAATTACAATGAGGGCAGAGTAGTCAAAATCTTGATTTAAATCATAAAATTCTACAATTTTACTTACCTATTCCGATTCTGAATTCCCTATAAAAATATATGGACCTTAAAATCCTACCC